GGGGGGCAGCCGGAGTGGGGATGAGGTACTGGGAATTCCTGGGAAGTGAGGATGAAGTGTTCAGGGTTTCTGAAAAGCTTTGGGGGCAGTCGGAGCAGGGATGAGGTGCCCGGGGTTCCTGGGAAGTGAGGATGAAGTGCTCAGGGTTCCTGGAAAAGTTTGGGGGCAGTCAGAGCAGGGATGAGGTGCTCAGGGTTCCTGGGGAGTGGGGATGAGGTGCCAGGGATTCCTGGGAAGGATGGGGGGCAGCCGGAGTGGAGATGAGGTACTGGGAATTCCTGGGAAGTGAGGATGAAGCGTTCAGGGTTCCTGAAAAGCTTTGGGGGCAGCCAGAGTGGGGATGAGGTGCTCAGGGTTCCTGGGGAGTGGGGATGAGGTGCCGGGGGTTCCTGGGAAGGATGGGGGCAGTCGGAGCAGGGATGAGGTGCCCGGGGTTCCTGGGAAGTGAGGATAAAGTGCTCAGGGTTCCTGGAAAAGTTTGGGGGCAGCCAGAGTGGGGATGAGGTGCCCGGGGTTCCTGGAAGCCTTGGGGGCAGTCGGAGCAGGGATGAGGTGCTCAGGGTTCCTGAGGAGTGGGGATGAGATGCCCGGGGTTCCTGGAAGCCTTGGGAGCAGCCTCGCTTCTCCCAGCACCTCTTTTCCACTACCCCAGTCAGAGTTTGGGGACACGAACCAGGTGTGGCCACTGTGGGGGTTCCAGAGCTGGAACTGGGCATCCCATCTGAGCCTCTGCCTGTAAAAATGTCCTTCTCCTTTACTCTCTCACTCCTTTGTTCATTCAGAGGTTTTGAGCAGTAAAAATCAAAGCCTTGTTCAAACTTACTGCTGTGTAAACTTGATATAGCCCTTGCATTACAGTGTTTGTGCCATTTATGTTGTACCATTGAATTCTTGTGCTCTTTTACAGTCCAGTATTTTATTGTGGTCTTGGGTGCCCCATAGTTCTTTTTAGACTCTGAATTCTAGGAAGTTTTCCTTGCTTCCCACATATACTGACTTTAAGTGGTTTTTGACTTAACTTGTTTGTACTCACCCCCCAATATTTAGGATGGAGTGGGTGCTAAAATAGCTGAAAAGATAGATGAGTTCTTATCCACTGGAAAGCTACGTAAATTGGAAAAGGTGAGTGTCTTTCTCCTGTTCTGTATTTCTCAACAGCTGCTTTTCTTGATAATTTCCAAAGTAGGCTGTTTGCTCTACACATTTCTGTTGTCCCTGGAGACTCTTAGAAGTGGTGGTATGATAAGTAGAAATCAAGGATTCAGAAGCCTCAAAACTGTCTATTTATTAAAATATTTAGCTTGCATAATCAGCATGTGCAGGGCTTCTGTCAGAAGTGGAAATCTTGCTGGAAGGCTCTGGAGTTTGTGCTTTAATCCTGCTCACTTTAGCATGGCCAGTTGGGGCTTTTCAGGCTTGTTACATGTGGCATTATTGTAAGGCTTGGTGCTGTTTTGTAGGGAACCTCCAAACCAGAGTCTAACTGAGCTCTTTTATCTTCTTAAAGATTTCCTTTTGTTTGTTTATTTCACTGTTTTGGTTTCGTAGATTCGGCAGGATGATACAAGCTCTTCTATCAATTTCCTGACACGAGTCACTGGCATTGGGTAAAAGTTTCTTGGGGTGTTTTTAGGGCTTTTTTTTTTTTTTTTCTTCTTCTGTTCATTTGATGGAATTATGAACAGAATTTGGATGATTGCACATAATGAGGAGAATGAGCCTGAGCTGCTGATGTAGTGCCCACACTGACACAGTGTAGTTGTGATTATGGGATTAAATGAGACAAAAGGGTGGAGAATGATGAATTCCAGACTTTGTGGCAGAGGAGTGGAAGTGGGAAACTTCCTGAGAGGGGAAGGAGAGAGATGTGGGTCAAGAATGGAACTGTGGAGTGAGACTCAGCCTCAGGGTTTCCATAAAAGGAGAAGCAGAGCCTTGAAGGAGGCAACAAAACAAAAATTCAAAAAGCCCATGAGAACTCTGCTGCAATGTTATCATGCATTTGGTATTACTGTCTGAAGCAATATTGCCTATTTGCTGTGACTTTTTTTAATTTCCTACAATTATACATCACTGTATAGTTATATCAATGCTAAAAATGTGCAGGCCAAGCTTTGGATCTCTGCTGACCAAAAGCATAAACTGAAAATGAGTGTGCTGAAAAGATGTAAGCATCACAAGCAACCTCAGTCTTAAAAAAACAACCCACACTTATAAATAATGTAAATAATGTCCTGTTTGATGTTGTAAGATTCTTGCTTTTCCTGATGCCAGATTCCCTTGTTTCTTTGCAGTCCTGCTGCTGCCAGGAAGTTTGTTGAGGAAGGAATTAAGACTTTAGAAGGTAAGTGTGAATATGAGGCCTTGCTTCACCCTCCAATAATCTTTTTTTTTCTGTCAAGCTGCTTCTTCCACAGTGATATTTCTAATAAATATGCCCTAGGCTTTGAGGAGGGTGTGTAAAATGCTAAAGCTGGTGCACA